CCGAGGTCTTAAATTTTTTTATAGTTCAGAAGAAACATATTTTCTTCTTTTACTATAACTATTTATTGGCCCTGCTCCATTGGCAGGTGAGCAAAGAATATGCAATAGTGGGAAATATTATTAAATCGGATCTACTAAATAGCACTTTATAACAAAGACCTAAACATTAGTTTGACCTGGCTGAATGAAACGTGACATCCCAAGTGCCGTGCTTTAAGTCATTGAAACCAAGCTTAATGGTAATAGCAGGAGGTTGTGAAAGTCCAGGATCTACAGCCTTTGTTCAAATTCTATGTAAGTAACTATGATTTTGACCAACTTAAAACCACTTCATAAATTATCATTAGCTCTTATCAGCAATTATTCTTATTGACAAGAACTGAAGGAGATGTTGAATCCAAAACCATGATTAGTTTTAAAAATTCAAATGAAAGTTCTCAATCAACTAAACTTCAAGCTTTTCTCTTTACCTCCACTTTCTTGTGTGTAAGGTACATTGCATTTTTTGTAAACTATTATTACTTCGATGTTACTTTTGTTTTCCCTTTGAAAAGTAAAAAAAGGGAAAAACAGACTGTTCACATTGTTTTGTTAGTGGTGAAAAACAGGTTATTTGCATTCTTTTATGAGTGACATAAGACAGTCTTGTAATTTGACAGTATGCTACTAACCATTGACACCTTTTTGTTATCCTCTTAGTTTATGAATCTAAAGCTAAATTTTGACATGATTTAATATGACGTGGAAACATCGGTACGAAAGGACTAGGATTTATATAAGGAGTGAACTAACTTACATTAGACTGCTATCACACTAAAGAAGTGGCCAACATTATGGATTTGCTACGTAAGAAATGAAAGTAGAAATCCATATGAAGACAGGTAAAGTACTTGTGGGACACAAGAGGCAGGCCATAAGGAAAAGATGCTCTCAAGTTTACCCTCCAGATAGATATTGCAGAATTTTTTTCAGAAATTGTTTTTTCCTGGTTCAGCAATTCATGAAGAAAAGAAAAGAAGAAACAGCATGTATAAACACTTTTCTACACAAGAGTTAAGAATTATATTTGACCTTCAAGATCTATAGCGCAGACAGTAAGCAGGAGGTGAATGCAGAATGTGTCAACATATAAAAGAATTGAAGCCCAATTCAGTATGTAATGATGTACATGCTCAAGTGACTATGGACAAAGATATTACCTTCCTGTTGCTTTTTCTCCAACTTCTCTCTTTCGCGTTGCACCTTTGCAGGGTCAACTTTCTCGCCCTAGGGAGAAAAGTTAGCACAATTTAACCACAGGTATGATCAAAATGGCCAGATTGGTCAACAACCCACACAACTCAGCAGGCAATTTAGATGATAAAGATCATCAAGGTTACATGATTTAGAAGGGTTCTCTGCTGTGCCTTCAAAATGGTGTCCGCAAAGCGACGCTTCAGCATTACAGCACGGAGAGCTCTAGTTGGGGATGATTGCTCTGTGCATGGAAACTCAACTTCTACAGAAAAAAGAGAATTCTTCAGAAAGCTAAAAGTATTTGACAATAAAATAAAAGTATTAAAAATTAATCAACAAACAGAGAACTAACTTGAGGATTCGCATGTGAATAACAAGCAAATATAAATAGCACGGGCTAAGGAAAAACCTTTGTGAGGAGTGGCAGCAACTGGACTGGAATGATCAGAAGTATGAGCATCATCTAAATCAACAATTGCAGTGCCTGCATATAATATGAGATTTAAATTTTTAAAAAAAACAAGAAGAAGAAGAAGAAGAAGGGGAAAAAACACCAGCCAAGTAAATGACTAGATAGTCTGTACTTGATAAAGTTAAATACCTAATCTGTCGACAGCATTACAGTTTCCACTGTATCCTTGCACCCCTGAGATGTTGTCACCATCCTAGAAATCAAATCAAGCAAAAAATTTCACTTTTCAGTAAAACTCTTTTCTGAGTAAAGATATAACAAATGACCGAGCTTACCAAATAAAACATAATGACATAAAATAAAGATGGCATATGAAAGTACACATACCAAAGTAGATATAGTAGAACACCTCAAGAGACTCTTTGTACCGGATGATCTTACAGAATCAACATCTGCATGAAAGCAATGAGTGCATAATATTTAAAGAAGACAACCATCACCACCAAAATAGATAAAGAGAGGAATAAGATTATGATATGTGCAGCAATAAAGAAGAATAAAGAGAAATAGTAAAAATGAAGGTTGTATAAAATTGATGAAGAACCTTCAAGGGCGATCAGCATCACATGGACAGTTGCCGTCAAGGCATCAAAAAAAGCCAAGGTATTGTGCAGGCTCTACTAATGATACAGCTAGATGTAACCCTACTTTTACGAGTGCCTATATTACATCTTAATTTAACTATAAGATGAGATGCGTTGCAAACACATATTTCCTAATAGAATGCAGCAGATATTGCTCAAAGGTTCCTACAGACAAACCTTTGTAACACCCCTCCACCTGGCCCTTTGAATTCATAACCAGACCTGCAGACTGTACACACATGAAATTAAAATTTTCATAAGAGTCGACAGGAACAAGACTACTTAGTGAAGCATAAAACAGGAGCACCAGTACAATTACGTGCTACTTACTTCTGTACATCCAGCATCCCCATAATTTTTTAAGATCTGATGCAACTCCCACAAAGTCTCGTCATCAAATGCATAAATGTCCACACTAATTCTCTCTTCATTTTGATCAAGCAAACAGGATTTCTGAAGAAATTTAAGCAGCTGCAAAGGGATATTTCTTGTAGAAATTTTCGCCAAACTATTTTGCAGCTTCAGTTTGTCTGCAACTGTTAGAGATTTGCAAGCCAGTGAACTTGTATTGCAGGAAGGTACCCTCTGAAGTACTTGTTTTGAGGTGATGGCTTCCTTTTTCGGTATCTTCCTTACTGATTGATGTGGTTCTTTTCTCCATTTGAACTCCAACGATTTCCATTTTGCATTGAAAATTTTACATAAATCTTTTGCCATCATATGGACAGCATTATACGGAGGATTATATCGCATGGCATTAGAAAATGTTAACCTCACATCTTCAGCAAAGTGATGGGTGCTTGAGTAGTGCTTCCTTTCAAGCCTATGTTTTATAGTGCCCAAGTCCATGGGTTTCTTGATAATTGAAAAGTAATCAGGGATTTTCAACTTTACCGGGTCAACTGGTTGATTGAACACCCAACCAGACTGATGGTTCATTAGAGCCATCAAAACACTACCACATTGCTTTATCTTACAAATGTCCATTTTTTGGCCCTTCCCATTTTCACCATGCAATCTTCTAGGGCTTTCAACTTCAAAAGAACCAGTCACAGTGGATACTGCCTCAGATTTCTCACCGCTAAAATCTTCATCATTATAAAAAAAGTTACAAACATCCATCTGTTGTTTGCTTTCTTCAGATGATTTCCTCTTCCTACTCATTGAATCTTGATTTTCGTAGTTGTGACAGGGTTCTCTCAATGCTACCCGATTTTTCACAGTGGAAGAAAACTCATTTACCAATAATCGTTCACAATCTCCTCCAATATTTTCAATTTTACTTCTCACCTGAGCAAGCTCACCCTTTAGTCTTTTCTTTATTATAATTTTCTGAGGCATAACTGATAGGTCAATGTAATTCAGAAATCATGACAATTGGCTTCTCCAAATTATAATAGTTCCCAGCCAATTCTCACGCAGTTAAGTGGTTGCCATGTAACATAGGCAAAAATATTGACTTAATTAATCCAATGTGCATAGGCAAGCAGCCAAATGAGTTGTGTCGTTCCTGCAAAAATTATGAATCCAGTAAGGGTTGTGACTCATGCATCTAGTATACAATTTTGTCATTCATATCTGCTGAGAATACTACAGATTAAATATGCGTCTCATATGATTAATAAGCAGAAGCAAATACGATAAAAAAAAGTTCAATTTGACAACAGAAATTTGCCGCAAATCCAGTTGAGCAAGAGTCAAAATCCAGAAGGCTTTATTTACAGGTTCATTAGACCAGGGTAGACTAGTCCAAGTTTGTGGCATGTCATCTAGAATTCAGCAGAACCAGTGCTTTTTAGGTAATTGCAAGTATAAACAGGTCCTGTAGAAATTATCATTCGCTATGCCTATGACAACAATGGAGCAAGTGGAAATTCACATGTTTAAATGAAATACATTTAAAACAAATCAGATATGGTCCAAACAAGATAATTTCTCTGAACCTTGAAGCAATTTATTCCATGAACAGCATGGCTTGTAATGAAGTTTAGAAATGCAACATTTTAAATGTAGTGTCAAAATCTAGCATAGTTTGAAGCTTTGCCATCAGACTATATTCACAATTTAATGTCGCTGTAACTTCAATATCCTAACATTGACTTCAACAACAATCCAACTATATTCTTGCAGGGTAGACTAGTCCAAGTTTGTGGCATGTCATCTAGAATTCAGCAGAACCAGTGCTTTTTAGGTAATTGCAAGTATAAACAGGTCCTGTAGAAATTATCATTCGCTATGCCTATGACAACAATGGAGCAAGTGGAAATTCACATGTTTAAATGAAATACATTTAAAACAAATCAGATATGGTCCAAACAAGATAATTTCTCTGAACCTTGAAGCAATTTATTCCATGAACAGCATGGCTTGTAATGAAGTTTAGAAATGCAACATTTTAAATGTAGTGTCAAAATCTAGCATAGTTTGAAGCTTTGCCATCAGACTATATTCACAATTTAATGTCGCTGTAACTTCAATATCCTAACATTGACTTCAACAACAATCCAACTATATTCTTGCAATCTTTTGTCCTGCATTTATTATGTCTCTCGTAGCCAGTTAAACAATTTTTTCTCCAATCCTGCTAAAGGCAATAACTTGTGATATCATCACGAGACTCACGACAGATCAACCTATTTACCAATCAAGAACAACTAGAAGCATACTCGGGCTGAAGGGTTAAACAAGTGTCTCCAAATGTTTGCTATTCGAACATTAATGTGAAGAATTAATGAAACAGTAAGTAACCAATCTAGATTTGAATATAGTTTCTCTTTTTCCATTTTTGTGTCTGTAGTTACTTCAAAGAATTGCAGACTATCCACTAGCCAAGCCAACAACCACAGTTGTGCAATAAAGAGGTAACCAACACTACGGCTGACCAAACTACTGTTACAACCGATTAAACCGACCAAACCGCCTAATTTTGGGCAATTCGGTTTGGTTTCTAACTGAAACAGTTCGGGTCGGGTTCAGCTATTCTAAATTGGTTTTGAACCAAGCTGACCAATTGACTCTTCAAAATAGTGCTTCTCTGTGTTCTCCTTGTGTCTATTTAATGCAATCAGTCAATCACATGTTTTGGCACACTCAATGTAGTCATGTCTTAAGTTTTAACTAATTAAAATCTGTCACTTTCCTTTTCTTTTAATTTTATTTACGAATTATAATGCAGAGAAAGGAAGCCATTCACCTTCATCCCCTTCTCCAAATGGTCAAAAAAAACCATGACCATACTCTACATCTAAGCTAACTTATTATTCTCCAGTAGTTCACGTTTCTTAACCTCCCTCCTTTCCTCTATTCGTGTAATTGCCGCGGTTGGAGAAAACATCCGCATGATCGTTTTAACATTTGCTTGTTGTTGACTGCTACTGAACTATGTAACCAAAAGAACCAAAAACCGAACCGAGATAACTTGGTCCGGTCCGGTTCAGTTCGGCGTAGTTAATGGGTTGGTTCTAGTTTGGTTCAATTGGAATTGGTTAAAGCCGACCGACCGTTTGCTCACCCCTAACTAACACACTTCGTTATATAGCATAACCTAAAGTTTGCAAATTCACATAGTCATATACTTCTCTAGCACGTGTAAAATAAAATTTTTGAATAATTGAAATTAACAATTAATCAATCAAACTAACGAAAGCTTTGAACCACTTGTACCAAGGAGTTCAACTTTTTTTGCGTCTTTAAATAAAAGTATTTGCTCCGGTTAATAAAATTGACCCAGGCTATAGAAGAACCTGGAGGTCAACCATGAGCCAATGATAACAATTATAGATCCTGTCAGACAAATTCAACTTGAAACCTGCTCAAACCTAACACGAACTCACTAGGCCCTTATCTGATGTAGAATAAGGCATGAGAAACACTCCTAAATAGAAATGATACCATATACTTGCACGACTAATCGACAATAAGAACAATCTATTTCACTAATTTATAGGGTACCTATATGATTCTTCTGCAGCTCCACTATATGATTAGTTTTTCAAATTTGCTAGGGGTCCTCCATCTAACTGTGACAGAGAGAGCCGCAGCCCCCCCCCCCCAGGGGGGTGCTTTAAACATGGCAGGATTTAACCCCCAAGCTTTAAAGTTTAGAGTTAAGTGTTTGAATTCATATAAGAACATTTTAAACACCTATGTTCGAACAAATTCAGCCTGTCATGTGAATCAGAGATCCAACACCAAGAGTAGGCATAGACACATTGCGAACAAATATAAATATAGGACGGTTACAACATATGCGGTTCAAAGATTGGTCCTTTCCTGGAATCCCAAATTAGATAGCAGCTAGGGGACAACCGAACTCCTTTCATACCTTTTTCAATTAAAGCCGTGTATCTGAGCATGCCTTTTCACAATAGTAGAGTCACTTAAACTTGAATTTCTAGCCACATAACCAGACCTCAACTATGTTCAATCAATATCCGATGTTTCGGTCCAGGGTTTAGTTCCATCTACCAAGGAGGACAGTAAATCTTCACAACAACCAGTCTTTTCACTAAACAGATGCATATACATCCTACTGAGGAGCAGGGTTTAGTCCAATTCATGTAAAGACTACATAGAGGCTGGGGGGGTTGGAGGGGGGGGGGGGGGAGCGTATGAATCTTCTAAGTTAAATTTTCACATATAAACCTTACCTCCCAATTTAAGAATCAAGGGCCAGTAGAAACCAATGGAGGAGCACAATAACTTAAAACCCTAGTCAAATTTTTTCAAGAGAGAAGAGATGAGACTGCCGGGAGAGAGAGAGAGAGACTTACAGTGAGAGAAAGAGCGAGAGAGATCGCCGACCTCACCCAGCCGCCGTGGAAGAGGGATCGACTCCAGGCGGCGGCCGGCTCCTCAACCGCGAACAAAAAAGAATAGGGTTTTTCGAGTTTTGATCCGAGAAGGAATACGAATAGATTTTATATATATTTTTTTTGGGAAAAGAAATTACGAAATATCGTTACGCACGTGCGGTATGCGTGACATGAGGTGCTGTACGAAACAGTGTGTACTGTTTTGATTACCTGACACGCCATACCATAGGGGTGTTTGTTTCAATTTTTTTGGGATATTGGGTGGATTACAAATTCTAGGATGAAAAGGTGGGATTTTTTTTGAATTTATGGATTTTATAATCTTTGTTTGATTGAAAATATATTTTGGAATGTTGAATACCCAAATAATAAAAAATTAATATATTATAACATTTGTGGAATTCCCTTTTTAACAGAAAATTTATGCTAAATTTCTAATTCTAAAATTTGTAAGATTACAATTTGCGTTTAAAACAAACAAAATAAAAATTAGAGGATTACATATTCTAAAATATTGATAAAACAAACAACATTTTAGAAATCTCAACTCATGTTAAAAAACCTATGGATTTCAAATCCTAAAATTATAGGATTTGAAACAAACACCGGGGAGCGTTTGGCAATCATGGCGTTTTTGCCGTTTTCGTTTTTTTTTTTAAACAATGAAACGTGTTTGGCAACCGGGGCGATTTTTTGACTTGACCCTTTACAAAATCCAAAAAATAAACGCTTTTCTTAAAACACCAAAAATGTGTTTTGAGATTCCGTGCCGGTCGTCGTCCGGTCGTCGCCAGTCACCATCATCGCCGACTCTATATAAATAATAACTATAAATGGTGTTTTGAAAACACGTTTAAAAAATAAACACCATGATATGGTGTTTTCTAAAAAAACACTAGTAAAAAAAACACTTTGGTTACCAAACACACTTGGTCCCAGTTTTAGTCGCCTTCAAACTTCAATGCAGCTTGAATGGGACACTAGTAAAAAATAAGTTAGTTGCTCACTTATTTTTGCATTGTAAATTTGTAAATGTTGATTTGTTTTGAGTTCTCATCTCTTGGTCTGGAGCTCCAATACCATCGCCCTTCTGATATGTGCAGTGTGATATTAATTTGTGCAAGATTTATAGCTGCATTGGCCAAAAAAATTTAAGGGAATTGGCTACATGCATCAACTTATTTATTCAGTTTTTATCAATATTCATGAATTAATCTTTTTATTTCTTGGTGCGCAACCTCTTCTCGCAATTTCTGCCTGCAGACTATTTCGAATTTTAAGAGTTTTTATGTTATGTATTTCATCAAAAAAAAAGGAAAAAAGATTGATTGTGCGAACCTCAGTAGCTGCTAAATCGTTGCAGAGTCGAAAAATCATGGAACATGAACGGAAAAAATTTGGACAATTCTGTGACATCCCTACTTTAGTCCCGCATGGACTAGTGTGAAGAAATGTTGGTGGCTTAAATAGAGAAAAGCCCAAAGCCTTAGGACAATTAGTGCTAGCATTTTTGTAGTAGATTTTAGCCAACATCGAGTTGCTCTCGGTGGGTCTCACGGCTTGGACGCGCCAACGGGACCATGGGCTCAGGGCGTGACAAATGGTTATTAGAGTAGTTGTCAGCTGGAAGTGTGGAGATAAGTGTTATACGGGGCTAAGTGTTACATCGTGTGGATGTGGTGGGAGCCACCTCTAGAGTCGACATCGCCTGACAGTGATACTGGAATGTGCCAATTGTCATGTCATGACGATGAGGACGTTGTCTTAATAAGGTAGGGTGATTGTGACAACCTGCACACATGGACTAGTGTGAAGAAATGTTAGTGGCTTAAGTAAAGAAGCCCAATGCCCAAGAACAACTAATGCTAGTATTTTAGCAGTGGATTGAGCCAGCACTCGAGTTGCTCTCGGTGGGTTCCACGGTTACACGCCCCAACGGGCCCGTGGGCCGTGGGAGTGGCAAAATCTGTAAGCATTTGTTGGATTTTTTTGGTCAAAACCGTTTTTCAAAATGAGTTTTCAAACTATATATATATTAACTACAAGTACTTTTCATAAATGCTTAGTAGCCTGGTGGAAAGTTAATGTTTTGGTGTTTCAAAAGGTCCATTATTCGAGGCTTGCCAACGCAAGCC